GTCCTTTACAACCTTAATATGACATCCCAACACCTATACTCAAAGGTCTGAGCAATAAAGGCAAATGCTAAACACCTTCTTAACCATCCTGTCTACCTATGACACAAATTTCAAAGAATTATGTACTTGAACTCCCATGTCTCTCTATTCTACAACACTACCCATGGCCCTACCATTAATTGTGCAAGCCCCGTCCTTGTTGTTTTAATAAAGTGCAATACCTTGCATTTACCCAAATTAAACTCCGTCTGCCACTCCTCAGCCCGTTCACGCGATTGATCAAGATCTCTATGTAATCATAAATAACCTCCTTCACTGTCCACAAAACCACCAATTTTGGAGTCATCCACAAATTTACTGACCATGCCTCCTGTATTCTCATCTAAATCATTTATATAAATGACAAACTGATCCTTGTGGAACATCGCTGGTCACAGGCCTCCAGTCTGACAAATAACCCTCCACCACCACCCTCTGCCTCCTGCCATAAAGCCAATTTTGTGTCCATTTTTAAATTTCTGGAAAGTAAAGTGTTTAAATGAAGATCTTGCAACAAATCCTTTTTTTTTCCAATGTGGTTAATGTACAGGAGGGAAGAACAAGAAAAAAGTTCAAAGTGGCCAAAGCAGTATTTATTTTAAAAAAGTCATGAAAGCATGTGGCAAAGAGAGCGCAAGGTTAAAAGATGCAAATAAGTTTTTTTTTAATCAGATTTCAGGGCTTTTCTTGTGTTTTGTCCAGAATGAAATGTCAAAATGACTGATGCTGTCTTCTGTTCTGTCTGTGGAAGGACGAATGGGAAAATGTATGCTCACTAATTTTGTCAAAGAAGATTCAGTAATAAATAATGGAAAAATCTTTTCATGGCAATGAAAATGATGAGATCACAAAGATAAAATAACAGAATTAAGCAATGATTCAGTTGCTGAAAATAGTGAGTACATATGGTTCTGTCACTGTCTCGATCATAATTAATATGTTTTACAATATGACTTTGAACTTTAGGAATTAAGGTTTAACTGTAAAAAAAAGCTTTGTGATTTAGTATCTTGTAAATATTACTCTGTAATAAATGCAATTCCAACAAGATTTGTGTTAATTACTGTTAAAAATAGCCTATATTTAATTTGAAAGGTTAGAGTTGAAGAGTAAAAAAATACTGAACAACGATGCTACATTTATTGACGTCCGGGTAGAACCAGGATTATTGTTATCTCCATAAAAAATGTCAAATGCTGACAACACAGGCCATAAAACTCCAAAAAAGATAGCAATTCTATCTATTCTATAGTAACCCAGAATCAAAGAAACCTTGAATTTAAAAGATAATTAATTCGTATTTCTACCTAGGGATAGGTAGGTAATGTGTTTCATATTGCCTTGAAGATAATGTTGAATGGCAAAACCTCCGTTAGAAGTTTTTTTTAAGTGTCTGTGCTTGTGAACAGAGGCAGGCAGTTCAGTTAGGGCAAAGCCAGCAGGCAAGGTAAAGTAACGTGAGAGACTGTCAATTTGATGTTGTATGTAGCTTGTAGCTCTTGGGAATTGAATGATAAAACCAGATCTATACCGTCAAGTACAGTAAATGGAAGATCTATCATCTGCAATACAGCCTGTGACTGAGGGCTGGTATTCAGTCTAAGACAATGTTGGAAAGGCAATAAAGAACAGGAAAATTTGTTCAGCTGGAACCTTAAGAATAATATCTACATTAATCCACAATAAAAGACAGTAAACTTCGTTGGAGTTCTGGAAGTATTCAGCTTGTCTGAAACCATAGCAGTGGATATTGGAAACCAAAGATGTTTTCTAATATTTTAACACATTGTTTTGAAACACTCACGTTTCTGAGTGGCCTTTGTACAACATTTTACAGGTTGAGCAGCTTAATTAATCATTAATATTAACAGTAATCAGCCAACTTGATTCAAGGACAGCTTCTTTCCCATTGTTATTAAATTTTTGAATGGACCTCTCAAATGTTAATGTTGATCTGTCTCTCTGCATCTTCTCTACAGTTGTAACATTGTATCTTGCTTTGTGTTCTGCTACCTGATGCACTTTGTGTGGTATGATTTGCCTGTAGAGCACACAAACCAACACTTTTCACTGTATCTCGGTACATGTGACAACAATAAATCAAATCAAAATAACCATACGCAACATACACTGCAAATGACAATTCAGGCAACTTGGCAAAAACATCTGTGTCCTACTGACACAACCCCTATCATGGCCACCTGAGAAGCAGGTCTGGCCATTATGTCCAGGAAAATGTCCTTTGGATCCCCGAAAGCACTGCTTGTCTATAGCCATAACCAACCAAACCATTCCAAAGGACCTCCATGGATCCAGAGAGGACACCAACATCCAGCCCTGGCTCCACCATGGATGAATGTTAGCTACTTGATAGGCAATAAAATTTCTTTCATGATGATCATTGACATGGGTTGAGAACACTTGGCAGTCAAATAGCTAGGCAGCCTCCAGGGTGACAGGAGATCCTTTTGTTTGCTATACCCTGTCAGAAGTACATACTTTCCGTCTTTATTTGATGGTGATATGCCTCAGACTTGTGCTTTTCTCAGCTAGTTATATTTAAGCTCTACCTTACCTGTACCAGCAGCGTATACATCTACAAGATGCACTGTGGAAATTCACTAAGACTTCTCAGACAACACCTTCCAAATCTATAGCCACTGATATCTAAAAGGGCAAAGGCAGCAGATACATGGGAGCACCACTGAGCAATTGTAACAAGGTCAGCCAGGTGAACCTGACAGCAGGGAATTTCAGTATTTCCTAAAGTCGAATGGTATTCCATATTTAAGGACAGCACCATGCCATCCATCATTGAATGGTCTGGCAGAAAGAGCAGTCAAAACTTTGAAGGCAGGCTTAAAGAAACAACCTACAGCTTCACTAGATACCAAACTGTTCCAGTTCCTACTTGTTATAGAACCACCCTTCATGCAACTACTGGGATAGCTCCAGTAGACTCAGCTAAATGATAGAGACAGTTTACTTCAAGGGACAAAGTTTGGTGTAGGAACTACAGGAAAGGTCCTGCATGGATAAGTGCCATGGTCCATGTGAGGTTAGGTTCAGTGGTGAATAATGTTCAGGTCCTGAACAAGCATGTGGACCATATGTAAGTTGCAAATTTCCAAACAGTCCAAGAGCAAAATATGCCTGGCTTGTCAATAGTCTTTCCGACTGTTCTGGAACCGTGGGTTCTCCCTCTCCATCAAGTGTTGATGAAAGTTCAGAATCTGAGAGGGACATGGCAGATGTCACTGCCTTGATGCCTTTGCCACCTGAATAAGAGAATGAATTTCTTCCAAGACACTCCAGCCTCAAGAGGCAAGCTACTGTGTGTTATACGCTGCTTGTATCAGAGGCAGAGTCAGAGGAACCTGACCCAGTGTTAATACGCCCCAGGAGGAGCAACAAAAAAAAAGAACCCGCCTATGTCATTGGACTTAGAGAGGCAAGGATGTAGTGATTGCAACAATGTCAGCCAGATGGACCTCATACAATATGAGTTCCCTGATTGGATCTGTTAATCTGGTCCAATCAAGGACTCCTGGCTGACAGATAAGAACAGGAGTTTCAGACATCCTGTGCACTGAAAGAGCTGTGCACTTAGAAAACCACCACCTGCAAGTTTCCCACCAAGTCTGACTCACTGTCCTGACTTGAAAATATATTGCCGTTCCTTCAGTGTCTCTGGGTCAAAATCCTGGAACTCCCTTCCTAATGGTATTGTGGGAGTACCTACCCCAAATGGACTGTGGCAGTTCAAGAAGACAGCTCATCTCCACATTTTTTTATTCATTCATGGGATGAGAGTGTCGCCAGATAGGCCAGCATTTGTCGCCCATCCCTAATTGCCCAGAGACAACCATATTGATGTGGGTCTGAAGTCACATATAGGCCAGAACCTAAAGGACATTAGTGAACCAGATGGGTTTTTCTGATAAGCATCAATGGATGCATGGCCATCATTAAACTCTTACTTTTAGATTTTTTTTGGATGCAAATGACAATGTTTAGGAATGGTGGGGGCACAGTGAATCAGTAGTTAGCACTGGTGCTTCACGGTGCCAGTGACCTGGGTTCGATTGCACCCTTGGGCAAACGTCTGTGTGGAGTTTGCACATTCTCCCCATGTCTGCATGGGGTTCGTCTGGGCGCTCCAGTTTCCTCCCACAGTTTAAAGGTGTGCGGGTTAAGTGGATTAGCTATGGGAAATGCAGGGTTACAAGGATGGGGGCTGGCTAGGTGTGGCTGGGATGCTCTTCAGAGGGTTGGTAAGGACTCAATAGACTGAATGGCCTGCTCCTCACTGCAGTGATTCTACGATGTGCCATGGTGGGATTTGAACCCTGGTCCCTAGAACATTACCTGGGTTTCTGGTTTAACAGTCTAGCAATAATACTACTGGGCCATCGCCTCCCCTACCTTCTCAAGACAAGGTAGAGATTGGCAGTGAGTACTGATCCATGCTATGGTATCTTTGAGCACCTTTAAAAAAAATTGTGGATTGTCTCAGCTGCTGTTGTGGAATTTATCATTGGTGTCAAAAGGTAAGCAGAGTTTTCCAAGCAAGTCGTTAGATGTGGATTGGTCCAAAGCTTCCTTAATGTGATGGAAGATCTTTGTTGAAAAAATTTCTTTGTTCAGCTTTGTAGTCACAGAGCATCAAGCAGGCATGGAAAAGCCTCAGAGAAGAGCTGGGTAATTATTGCATAATTTGAAAGTATCACGGTGGAGGTATGCACTCTACTGAGCGCCCTCTTTACTAGTTGTATATGTAAACATTTTTACTGAATATGAATGAATTAGGCCTCAGATATTTTTCATTTTCCCAATGTCCTGATGCTCACAAAATGCATGCTTAAGTTTGGCCTATTCAAATTGGAGGTAAGTTAATTATTGTTGTATGTTTTGACTACAATATATTTCCAAAATAAAAAAAAATCAAGATTTGAGCACCATTACACCAGTTCATCAATTTTATTTCTCACATGGCTAGTTTTGTGCTCGTGCTATGAAATTGACAATTTAATATCAGCTCATACCTTACTTCTGGAGGGAACTTGATCCACTTAGAGTTAAGTTGGCATTGCTCAAACAACATTGTTCTAGAATTCTATCAGTTCTGAGGAAGAATCATAGACCCAAAACATTAACTCTGATTTCTCTCCACAGATGCTGCCAGACCTGCAAATCTTTTCCAGCAATTTCAGTTATGGTTCTAGAATTGGGAAGCAGAAAATGTGCTCAGTTGAAATATATGCCAAAAAAAATCAAAAGAACAGTACTTCAATTCAACTTCCAGAAATTAAAACTTTTGTCACTCAAAACACGAATCATTTTTCTTAAATATCAGTCAGGAAGTGGTTTCAAAGTCATTGTTTTACATCTATAAATTTGCAATAGTTCTTGTTCAATTGTTTATTTTCCCAAACAGGACTCTCCATTTATACCTATACAACATTATTGTAGAGGTCAGGACCGTAAATTTATAAGCTTTATTTGTTACCTCTTATTGCTGGTTTGATTAGCCTTGGAGAAATGTTGGTCATATCTTCCTTTTTCCAAAATCTTGTGCTGAACTGTTATTCAAGTTATTGCAAAGTGCAGTGGCGACACTTACTGACTAGTATACAGTACTGCATGAGCGAAAAGAAAAGAATTATATTGCGTCACAAAAGGTGAAAATTAGAGTTTGTTGTGACATAGAAACAAAATAGAAGTTTGTAAAAAAATGTAATGACAACTAAGCTTGAAAGACTCAAAATGCAAACTTTTGACTGTACAGTGTTTTATTATTTGTTAATTTTAGTTTAATTTTCTAATCTTGTCAATACATGTACAGAGTACAATCCCGTGCAGAAATAGGACAAATCCAGGGGACTTAATAATAAGCTTGGCATAAATCAATCAAATGCAATGTTTACATCATAGTTAAAACATTTAACAAACAAGTAAACAGAGTGAACGGATGCAGCTGTGGCAATGAAGGAAGATGAAAGATGCAGCAGAAAAAACTTTGAGTAAATTCCAAACTTACAAACTGGATGGACTATATGCTTTCATCTCACTCATCAGTACAGTGAACCCAATTTATATTTTAGACTGGGCAATTCAGCTTTGAGTAGGCTATTCACAAAAATTTAAAATTTAAATGGAATACCAAGATGTTGGGTGTTAAATCCAAAAGGTACGTATTCTTTACAATTCAACCGCAATTTCTCCAATTATGGAACCTTGTCTGAAAGAAACTTATGTGTCAGAAACAGCTCAATCGTGTTAAGACCATGTCCCTGATGCTGAAACACCGGATCAGTTACCTTAGACTGTTCTGCCAGTCAGTTACATTATATTACCTATTCTTCAACTTCATGGACCTGCAATTAATCCATATCCCTCGATTAATTTACCGTAATAAAAACAAACCGCGCTTAGTCTTGAAAACTTAATTTTGGGGAAGGAAATTCCATTTATCTATTCGCCTCTGAGTGAAAAAAAAAATTCCTTCTAGATTTCACTGCTGAATAACTCAGCTTGAATTTTGAAATTATGACCCTTTGCTCTGGATTTCTGCACAAGACTTAATGAGATTCCTTTACCACTTTTATCAAAAACATTTATTGCTTAACACCCTAATTAGATCATCCTTACATGAAAAGTATGCCTCCAGGCCAATAAATCCTTCCTGTGATGCACTGTCCAAAACTGAACATATATCCAGATGAAGCATGACAAAGATTCTGTAAAACTAAACCTGAACTCCCCCTACACTTTTAATCTATACCCCTTGAGATAAAAGATAATGTCCGATTAGCATTTTGAGAGTATTTTGTTCACCAGCTTTCAATGAGTCGAGTACTATTTTGTACCCTAGACATAGTAATGACATGGCCATCACTCGAACTCTGGTATGCAAGTTTGAAAGCCGTGGGCAGCACTTATTTTGAGAGCATATTGACTTTGCTATATCCAATGAAGTCAGCTGCTTTATATTGTATTGTCTGGTTTTAGATACCGATGCTGCTGAGGACTACAGGAGGTGATCAAATGAAAGTGAGGCTACTTACATGGTGCTTTTGGCTGAAACCACTTGCAAACAATTCAAACTTGTTATTTGAACTATGCATTTTGGGTCGAGCATGGTTAAGGAAGAGGATATTTTTGAAAAGGTGTCATTGTGTTAGTTGCTATGGTTACCGCCATGTATATTCTTGACTGGATGTTGTTACACCTGTCTGGGTTAATGCACAGATATTCAAGGCCCACTATTCCTAAGTTGTCAGAAAAGTTAAAGACTTTAAAAAGGACACAATTTTCCCCAATTTACATAACTTTACCTAAAGCATGGACCTAGTTTCTGTACTTAACAAAAAGTACTGTTTAGTACAAATAAATATATCCTAGCTATATGTCAACAATTACGAACGATTGGCATACTACATACAAGTTGAAACTTGTAATGGGGGGAAGTGGGAGAGCAGTTCAGTGGTTCCTGTCCACAGGATTTTCTGAGATGATTCTTATGCTGATCAGAACACTGCTTCTCAATCTTCCTTCTCCAGATATTTGCACTTGTTTGCAGGAGGCTTCACATTTTAAAAAGTCTCTGACTTACTAACTAACTTCTAATGGAAAATAAACTGATTTGCTTTAGGCCTAAATTGTTTTTTTATTTAGAGAACAGATATTGTTCCTGAACCTGTGCAGATAGGATGGCTTCTCACTGTCACATTTGCCACCCCAAGCTGTTTAGTTACTGGGAGACAATCACATAGTTGTTGGCAACAAAAGACCATTGTCATTGATAACTTGTCACCAGACCACAGAACAATAAAACTGTTGCTGGCTGAAGTTCCATTTTTACACAGTCCCCATCTTCAGTTCATGTGCAAGCTACTATTTGAACAAGCAGTTGTGTAAATGACATTCACAAACAGTACGAGGTGACTCGCTTTCAAAAAGTGAGCAATCTTTAAACAATCCTTGGTTTTTAAAACTGTTATTTTCCTATTTCAGTCCACAATTTAAAAGTACAGGAAAATAAAACAAAACACAGCTTTTACATTGTGATAAGCTAGACTGTTTTGATTTGACTTATTAGTTCTAGCAACACACTCATAGCCTGCCACTTTTGATGCTTAACTTGCAGTGTTTGCTAGGTTTATAACCTACTCTAAAATTATCGCTGCTGTTGCTTCTGGTTTGCCCTTCAGGAGTCCACAGAGCACCAGCATTCCTCTTTAGACTCACTGAAGGGCTACAGGAGTGAGTCTGCAGCTGGGAATTCTGCAACAATTAACTCACTAACTAACTCCTCAGAGCCTGTCCACTGTCTACAACTTACAAGTCAAGAATGTGATGGAATGCTATCCATCTGCCTAGATAGGCGCACCTCCAACAAAACTCAAGAAATTTGGCACCATCCAAGGCAGAGTGGTCCACTTGATTGGCACGACCTTCAACATTCACTCCCTGCATTACACATGCACAATAGCAGCATTGTGTACCATCTACAGAATGTACTGCATCAGCTCATCCAGGTCCTCAACAGAATATTCCAAATTGATAAACTGTCTACCTAGAACAACAAGGGCAAAAATGCAGGGAACACCACCTGACAGTTCTCATCCAAGCCACACACTAAAATAACTTGGAACTATATAATTGTTCCTTCTTTGTCAAAATCTTGAAACTAATGTCTTTGTTAACAGCACTATGGGTATATCTACATGCAAAGGACTGCAGCAGTTCAGAAGTCAGCTCATCATCTGAAGCAAAGCTGTATAAGTAGAGAAATGGTGTTGGATAAATTGATGGGATCGAAGGCTGATAAATCCCTAGGGCTTGATAATCTACATCCCAGGGTACTTAAGAAATACTCTAGAAATAGTGGATGCATTGATGATTATCTTCCAAGATTTTTGGGACTCTGGAACAATTCCTACCGATTGATGTGTAGCTAATGTAAGCCTGCTATTTAAAAAGGGAGGTAGAGAGAAAACAGGGAATTACAGACCAGACAATCTGATGTCAGGGTCAGGAAGATGCTACAGCCCATGATCAAAGAGTTTATAACAGAGCACTTAGAAAACACTGGTAGAATCAGATACAGTCAGCATGGATTTACAAAAGAGAAATCATGCTTGACAAATCTACTGGAATTCTTTAAGGACGTAGATCATGCAGTTGATTGGGGGAGCCAGTGGACTTTCAGAAGGCTGTTGACAAAAATCCTGCATAAGAGATTAATGTGTAAAATTAAAGCACACGGGATTGGGTGCAACATATTGAGACGGATAGAAAATTGCTTATTAGACAGGAAACAAAGGATAGGAATAAATGGGTCTTTTTTTCTGTATGGCAGGCAGTAATTAGTGGAGTACAGCAGAGATCGGTACTAGCACCCTGGCTATTCACAATATATGTTAATGATTTAGATGAGAGAACAAAATGGAATATCTGAGATTTTGCAGATGACACAAAGCTGGGTGGAAGGGTGAGGATAATGTTCAATATTGGAGTGTGATTTGGACAGGCTGAGTGTGTAGGCAAATGCACAGCAAATGCAATATAATGTGGATATATGTGAGGTTACCACTTTGTTAGCAAAACTAGGAAGACATATTATGATTTGAATGGTTGTAAATTGAGAGCAGGGAATGTTCAATGAGACCTGTGTGTCATTATGCACCAGTTGCTGAAAGTAAGCACACAGGTGCACAAGGCAGTAACAAAGGCAAACTGTATGCTGGTCTTCATAATGAGAGGATTTGAATCCAATAAGAAGGATGTCCCGCTGCAATTATACAGGGTATTGGTGAGGCTACACCTGGTATATTGTGTTGACTTTTGGTCTCCTTATTTGAGGATGTTCTTGTTATAGAGGGAGTGCAAAGAAGGTTTACCAAATTGATTCCTGAGATGGCAGTGCTCAAGTATGAGGAGGGATTGAATCAGTTAGGATTGTATTCACTGGAGTTTAGAATATTGGTGGTGGGGACATCTCATAGTAACTTCAAAAATTCTACCATGATTAGACAGGTTAGATGTAGGAATATGTTCCCAATGGTGGGGAAGTCCAGAACGAGGGGTCGTAGTTTAAAGATAAGGGGCAAACCTTTTAGGACTGAGATGAGGAGAGATTTCTTCACCCAGAGTGTAGTGAGTCTGTGGAATTCACTACCACAAAAAAGTATGTTTTATGTGTTTCCAAGAAGGAGGTAGATATAGCTTTTGTGGCTAAAAGGATCAAGGTATATAGGGGAAGGTGGAATTAGACTATTGAGCACGATGATCAGCCATGATCATAACAAATAGTAGAGGAGGCTCAAGTGGTCGAATGGCCCACTGCTGCTCTTGTCTTCCATGTTTTCTACATTTCTATGTAAAGAAATCAAGGTGACTGGCAAAAGAATTTTACAGTTTGAGAGAAAGAAGAGGAGGTGTAAAGTGACTGTTTTAAACTGAAAGAAAATAACAAAGGTATAAAGACAGAATTGGCCAAAATACATTGGAAAATGATGTTAAGGTGTAAACCAGTGGCGATGAAGTGGCAGACATTTCAGGAGATATTTTATAAACTGAGAAAGAAGATTCTAGAAAGACACACAATCCATTGCTAAATAAGAAAGTTAAGGAT